TCATAACGTCGCTTAAGGACCTGCAGCTTGTCTCACACTAAGACCTCAAAGGATCGTTATTGCTCCCCATCATCCCCAGATCTTCAAGGATCGACCCGAGCCGCTTTCGCCCGGGTAGTGTGGCATGACAGGGGCTTCGAGATGCAGGTACAGGGGGTCTTTCGTGGAATCGTGGAAAGGCGAACTCAAATTAGTACAGGGGTCTTTCACGAAAAAAGAAGTAAGTATGATCGGTCTACACTACTCGCATGATGCATACTGCCCACTGACAGTGGCAAAAGGAAATATAGCGCCTCTGCCCGCTCTCTTGTCCCTCTCACTTTTCCATTCTTCTAAGTAAAAGGAGGTAAATCTGTTCTCACTGCTCGAACATCGCAGGCCAACGAGATATCCAGTAGTATCTTCACCAGTATAGGCTCATAGTTGAGTGCTTTGGCTACTACTAGTTGGCGACAGCTCAGATACCTACCTAGGTAGGTATGTGGAGACAATGCATCTTTACTCAGGCGCCGGAATAAGTGGGGAGAAGGTACAGCGCGGTCAATCGGCACCATAGACTTTCCACCACATCCTCAGAGTAAATACGAGCTGACTGCATTTCGATCGTCGGCCTGGGCTGCTTTGCCGGACGCGTGCATAAGAAGAGTTGAAATTTGAATCATAATAAACTGGGCTTTACTTGGCGCACCAATGGTTTGCTTCTACGATCCCAAATTCTCACTACTTGATTTGCTAGGGTCTGGGCAAGAGTCTAAGGAATAGTCTGACTAAAGCAAACAATTTGACAAAGATAATAGTCGTTGTCCATGCACTTGTCACATCCAGTAGCTAGCCATGCGTAAGAGACGTCGGTTAAGAGACATCAGTTCATCCTTGCGCGACTTTGTCCTCGGCTACATGCCACCTTCTTAATGCAGCCAGTCTTGGCACATGAACAAAAGCGCCCGGCATTACCCGGGGGCGTTAGTCAGCCACGTCAAGCGCAAAACTCCCCCTACTCACGTAGGGGGCGAAAAAACGGGGTTTCCACGTAAAAAAGGGGGTTTCTAGCTAGTCGCGTAAAAGTTACGTTTTTCTTGTTTTATTACTAAAAAACGTCTTTTTTAAGATTATACTATAACTTAAAACTATATTTTTTTTAATTACTTCTTTTGATCCTAGTTACTAGGATATCTTATTAAAGTAATACTAACTTAATACCTATTAAATAAGCTATATAGGTATTATATACTATATAATATTAAACTTTCTACCTTAGTTACTCTAATAAACCTCTATCTATAATATTATTAATCTAAGTTATTACTAAGGGCTATAAAATATCTTATATAGTAATAAGGAAGTATCTAAAAGCTCTTTAGATTAATTATAATATCTCTATACTACTTAAAGAGGGTAATTAGCTGAAATTATTAATAGAAGCTAAAGATTTAGCCTTAGTAGTATTTATTATATAATTTAATACTATTAGCTTCTTAGCTACCCTACTTATTATTAAAGAGATAGCTAATACTTTTTAAACTAATTAGGGTTTAAACTCTATTTTAGAATACTTTATAAGGTTCTAAAAAGCTAATTACTTAGAGTTCTAAAAAAGATTAAAGATTAAACCTATTAAAATTTACTAGAAGGGTATTAAGTTTAACTTAATACTAATATAAGACTTCTTTAATTAGTATAAAGTTATAGCTTAAGATTATAAATTTAAGCTTTCTGAGATTTAGAATATTAATAAGTCTAGTTACTATATTAGCTACCTTAATAGCTATATATATATTATTTTATTTTAAAGATAGTAAAAGTAGAATAAATTATATAAAGTTATTAATCTAGTTAATAGAGAGTTATATATTCTAGTTAATAATAATAATATTATTAGAGATATTATTCTAGTTTACTTTATCTTTAAGATATAGCTAATTATTATTTAAGCTAATTATAATATTAATAAAAATATCTACTTTATATAGTCTCTAACTACTTTCTCTAATTAAGAGATTATAATAGATTATATTAAGTATTTTAATATATATTTATTTAAGAAGTTAGTGAAGTTTTAGTAACTTAGGTATATTATAGAGTTATAGTTTAGTATTAATATATATAGAGGCTATTCTAATTAGCTTAGGATATATAATATAATACTAAGTATTTATATTAAGTTATATAGAGATATATTTTAGGAAGAAGTTAATATAAAGCTATATTAGTTACTCTTTTTAGATAACTTCTCTAAGTATATTAGCTTAGAGCTTATAAAATACTATATTAACTTTAATATTATTATTAGGTTTTTTCCCCTTTATACTATATATCTATTTTAGTTTATAGATATAGAGGTTTTCTAGCTATTTAAGAAGGTTTACTAGATAGTACTATAAGAGGCTATATAAAGTAGTACCTTTATATTTATATATAGAGATTTTATTAGTAACTTTTACTAGATAATAGATATTATATTTATATACCTAAATATTATAGTAAGGTTTAAAAAGTTAGGTATCTAGTTAATTAGAGATAATATAATCCTCTCTTAATTAGTTAAATATATATAGTTAGCCTAAGTTAATATATTTAGCTACCTCTTCTATTACTTACTAGATAATAATAGGTTTAAGAGGGCTATACTATAAGTTAATATTATTAAATAATATTATAGTATTAAATAGAGCTCCCCTACTTAGAGAGGTTATAAAGTAATAAAGTTTATAATTTTAGAGGGTAATCTATATTATAAGAGAGGCTAGGAGTATATTATTAACTAAAACACTTAGATAGAGTTATAGTAATATAAGTAGTAGACTTAGTAAGGCGTTAAATTATAGTATTTATTTATAATAAGTATAATATTTATAGAGATTATATAGTAATAAGAGATATAGGTTATTAAGGCTACTAAGAAGGAGGTTAAGTAGTAATATATTATATTAAAAAAGGAGGCTAAGAGGTAGGAGAAGGAAGTATAAGTAGAGTATATAGCTATAAAGTACTAACTAATTAATAGGTATATAAAATAACTGAATTTTAAATAATAGCTTACTTATATTAGTAAGATTAATAACTATATACTATTTAATATAAAAGATTTATAATAGTATAAGCTACTTAAGCCTAAGTAGTAGATTAATCTTAACTTTATACTACTACTAAAAGAGACTTTAGATACTATTAAGTATTATATAAGGCCTCTTAGTTACTTTAATATTAGAGAGATACTAGCTATAAGAGGGTATTATATTAATAATAGTAACTTAGATATCTATAATAATATTAATAACCTTATTAAAGAGGATAGTAATAATACTACTTTAAGTGTTAATTTAGTTAATAACTTTAGAGTTAATAATAATATTATTAATACTAATAAGTTTAAGTTACTATTATTACTAGTACTAGCCTTACTAGCTATACTAGTATTAGTAGTAGTATACTAAGTGCCCTACTTTACTCTATAAGAGGGTTTAATATACTTCTATATTAATAATATTATAGAGAGTAACCTTCTAATAACACCTCTATTAATATAGGTAATAAAGAAATAGAAATATATTATTAATAATATAGAAAGTAATAATATAGTTATTTTCTATAACTTATTAATACTTATATAAGATATATAGATATTATATATATAGCTAGATAGCTCTACTTAAGAGTAATATAATAATACTACTTTTATTACTATATAATATAGTTAAGGCTAAAAATTATATTACGAAAAGTTATTAATTTAGTAGGTTAATATTAAAAAATACTACTTTTAGTGATGTGGGTAGAAACCCCCTTTTTTGTGTAGAAACCCTGTTTTTTCGCCCCCTACGTGAGTAGGGGGTCTAGCGTTAGCCCGCGCCGCTTAGACCCCCAGGTAGCGAGCAAATTTCAGACTTCACAAAACACATAGGAAGGAAAGTGGTCTGTTCAGAGAGTAGGTTATCAGGCGTTTAGATGGTTGGTGAGCACGGAAATTACTCAGTACCTAAGCATCGCATGCAGTTACCCGACTGTTAATAACACACCTCTTGTCGACGCAGCCATACGATATCCTGTTCTTAGGGGCGCGGAGCAAGACAAACGGAGATGGCCAATCTCCTCGAATGAATAGAAGAAATGTAGGTCATTGGGTGGTTTTACTGAGAGTGCTCACTATCTTCAAACCTTACTACTAAGTCTGTCTTCTCGCACTCGCTGGCTTATCTACGAGAATTCGATCGAAATCTCGAATTTTCGAATGAGCATGATCGTGTGTGGTGGCTTCAGGTTGGGAACATGACCTCCTGGCGGAAGCGTCAATGAAGATCCATGGATAGGTGAGACCCAGAGGCTCCACTCACTCGCTGACATGTTGCTCAGCCGTTAACTATGAAAGAATATGCAAGGAATAGTCTTTCTTCATACTAAGGGAGGCTAAGCTCGTACGGAACAGCTCGGAACTTACCGCGTGGTCTTTTAGTGACAATTACTACCAAAGTTCAATACCTCTGTGAAATACGCTTTACAGAGCAAAACGTATTTTCTTTTCTTTCTTATTTTTCTCGATGTCCATGGTAACCGACGCGTCGAGTAAATCCATTGTAAAGGTTCCTGATCTAGACACATTGTATGGAAATTTTCCACGTGCGAGAACATCTCGTTGTGTGTTTGAGATTGTGTCACCAGGCGCCGGGCAGGTCTCTTGAAAGTAGAGCCCCTTCTTTTCTGATAACGACGCCGAGCGGCCCAATGGCCAACTAATCCTGAAAGGGTACAGTGGATATAACTGTGACAGATTTCTTCCTACTTTGACCTCAAATTCCATGCACATATTGAGTGTGGCTTGACCAATCCTTCAACTTGGGGGGCTGTCAACCCATGCAAAACACAGTCACGTGGGTCGTGCTTACGCTGTTTCCTGCAACAGCAGGTCTGCTGCCAGCATTTCGTCAACCGCGCAAGGAATAGCTCAAACAAAAACAACATTCGGCAGGTCAATTGATATCTTTGACAACTCGTTGAACTTCAGAATGACTCGCGACTCCCAGACACAATCCGCATTCGTTAGCCGTCTGCCGCGTGAGGTTCGCGATGCTGTCTACTTCCAAATGTGGCACTCATGCGGTCTTCGCCAGCATATTCTATGGCATGGCGCCGCAGAGGACAAGCATTTCTGTCAATGGTCGTGGACTACGGAGTACCAGGTCGAGGACGAACTACAACGCGACATTGAGAAGATGAGAGACCAGCTCGGAGTCTCGCTGGGCCAGGAGATAGTGCGAGACCGGCATGACAACGCCCCACGGTACTGCAGACGACTACAGTCTCCATGGATGAATCATTGGCTCTGCGGCGAGCGCGCATTCGAAAAGCACGGTATTTCAGCTATCCGTGGATCCAGCACCACGACGATCGTTTGCTGGAAAACAGAGAGGAAGGTTACGCCTCATCGACCGTGGGCAACCGCATACATTCCCATGCTATTGTCGTGCAAGGTCATGTAGGTGGCGACCCGTCATCATATGACTCCTGGCCATACCTGAATACTTACAACTTCAGCTCTACTGAGTGCCTTCAATCCATATACGAGTCGACAACGTTCATATTCACCGATCTGGCGACAGTCCAAATGTTCTTTGGCGCCTGCGCCATGCACCCAGCGATGAAGACGGCTAAGACGGGGGTAACGCCCCCGGCGTTCTTCAAACATGCCCGAAACTTGGAGCTGTCTCTGAGTCCGGACTTCCCGGCGCTGCTGATGTGTGCTAATTACGATCTCCCTGGTATCCCTCGTCGCCACGACGTCCACGACTTCCACTGGCTGCGGTTCGACAAGTTCAAGAATTTACAAAACGTTTACATATGGATTGCAGCGCGATCCCTTACTTGCGGCATTGAAGCTAACAGTAGCTTCTACGGCATTAAGGAGTTCAACGTCCAGGGGTTGAAAGACATGTTATACTCATTCAAGACTATCGAATCCGTCACGCTGAGTACACCGTTGAGCCAAAGGATCGGCCCTCAAGAGGGCTATGTGGATATCGGTACAGCGCCCGGTGTGCGACTTTACAAACGGGGCTCGGGAGACAAGTTTCATCCATTTCTGACATTGATAGAGCTGGGTTGCGTGTTTGATGGACTCATTTATACCCACCCCACAGAGTGAGTATTGTCCTTTCTCTTCCTAATCTCACGTACTCACGAGGAATGTTTCAGGGAAGTTCAACTTGCACGCAGAGATGGCACTTATGAAGTAATGAAGGATGTATGATCGTGGCTGCACTGTAGCTTCCTGAGGGCAGAGGACAGCTTGATTGATGCGTTGCGCGGAGAAGTGCCGAAGCGAACCAGGTGATTTGAATAAAGATCCTAGGGGCATGTAAGCAAGACTGCTTTACCGGCCTCGGGACTATCGCTTTCATGTAGCGGGAGTAACCATGGCCTGTGATATTTCGTGGCGCGTTTCTAAATAGACTTGGAAAACGTATCCTGGTGAGTCTTGAAGAAATTGTGAACTTGGAGCCTGTTAGGCCGGCGCTTAATAGTAGAAATTGAAGTCGTGCAGAGGAGAATGAGCTATCTATTTCAGACTCCGATTCAATTATGCGCTTGGCTTCCCACGCACCCAACATCAATTCGAAAGAGCAGGCGACATGCTGACCTTTTTCCAAGCTGCCACTGAACAAGGCTGATTGGCAGTTATGGCGGCTGGAGTTCTTGGCAATTTAAATCGGTAAGCTGACACTCAATTAGACATGGGGACCAACTGCGTCGGAGTGTACCTCGGACAGGCCTACAATGCAATTGGCCAGGCCTTATCCGTGCTGCCTTCATGAAGATGCGAACCCCTGGACAAGTGCGGCCCTATTTGGGATTACGGCGCGCAAAGCATTCAGGATGCTGCTGCTACAGGGCGCAGTCCCTGGGTAACAACAAAAAGAGACATATCCTTGATCAGTGGGTTATTCAACTGCATGTGCGCTTCTAGAGGGAACATATTCGGCCGAAATATTACATCCTCTCGAGGCCAAGGTAACATCTACTTGATGCGTGCCTCTAGGCTTCGGGCGATAATTGACAAGCAAGGATGAAGACCCGCTCGTGAACGAAATTAGAATATGGGAATAGTTCTCGGTGGCTCAACTTGATTGCGGTCTATCATGGCCTATCCTGATCCGTTAACATATGAATATATAAAGGAAACTCTCGATAGCAGTCATTGGACATTCTCACCAAAACCACAAGCTATCGTACTTGAAATCATTAATCATTTCTCACTTCTCCTTTTGTCCAGGCTTCTGTACTGCGTCATTGCGAAAGGATGAGGGCATTCGCGTATTTGCCATTACTCGGCAGTCTGCTCTTTGCCACCACCAGCGCTCTCCAGACATCCGAAATATGTCGCAGAGATGAGAAATTGGGTCAAGTTTTACAACGCCATGGCCAAGGATAGCACATGCGTCATCTACATTGACAAAACCGTCAAGAACGACGGCCTGACCCCTTGTAGGACGTTCTGCAAGGAAAAGGGCTAGCCAGAAGACAGGATCGGGGTGAGTAATTTCCGCTCAAGGTTTTGAGGAATGATCTGGCCTCGCGAATGTCGCTAATCATGTCAATGAAATATAGTGCCACTCTGACCATATCCCCAACGGAGAAGGGCCGTATCCCCGAGACCCTGGCGGTTACAAAATGTTCCCGTGCGACTGTTTCTGTGCCGAAGAGTTCAAGAGATTGACCCAGTCGCCGAGGCGTTCATCACTCCAGTCATCGAGGGCCTGGCCAAGCTCGACGAGATCATCTGCGGTGTATTCGTTCAGGCCGTCGTCGAGAGCATCAACACCGGTTTCGCCCTCGTCCCAGGCGCCGATCAGGCCGCAGCCTCAGCACGGGCAGCGACGAAGGCAGCCGTCGAGGGCGCCAAGTCGTTCGTGGAGAACTCGCTAAACTCGTCCGACTTCTTCGACGGCCGGGTTAAGAAGAGCTGCGGCATCGACAAGATCGAGCTTGACTACGACAGCACTTTCAACTCGCTGGTCAACCCCTACTTCTCCTGCTGCTCATCCTGTTCACTCCAAATTCACTTTAGAGATCACTTCACCGTTGCAAACCATTTCAAAATTTCTAAATTGAATAGCTAGGGGAGCCAATTGCATTGTACGAGATGGCGGCTCGCCAACAAGATACACCCTTATTCCCCACCTTCTCAGTTTTGATTATGCTCTGGCACATCGAATATGACTCTGACGGAGACATTTACGAGGGCCAGGATGGACTGGGCTAGAGAAACCTCTATGGCGAATCCATGGGGTAAATGAAAAGGCCGATGGACTAAATGTTGTGTAAAACCAATCCATAATCACTGTACTGTAACATAGAAGTCGTATCTCAGACTACCCGCGTCCCTGTAGCCATCAGCTCCTCCGTTGTTGCCTGAATGTCGACACCGGTTAGCAGGAGTTGCGAAGAAAACCCGACGATTGTAATAAGACTCACAGCTCTTGTAATTAGCCCTGATGAGGCTCGCGCATGTGACACCAGCATCACCCTCGATCGGAGAGTCCAGATTCTGTTCAGCCACGCTAGTCTCGCATCCATCGATCCACGAGATCTTGTAGTTCTGGTGGTAATCGGCCCCAGGACCAACAGGGTGCCAGTAGACCTCCTTGTCTCCTGCATTCATTGTTTTGCCAGCTGCAAACAATCTGCAGCCATTTGAAGACCATCCGTCTTGCTGGCCGTCGTGCACGTCGTACTGGCTGTGATTGTCGTGGCAGACCCTCGCCCAGGGTCGGCGCAGGCGGAGCCTCTTCCAGCTTCTCAACCTTCCATGTGAACTTGCCGTAGCCGACATCGACGGAACCATTATAGAACATGCGGTCGCCCGCCGAGCCGTGGTTCGTACCGCCTGCGCATTATCTGTCAGCTCAGATAGGTGTCTCGGGATCTTGGACACTTACAGTTACTCTTGACAAGCTCCGTGTATGCGTTGCGGCAAAAGTCCTCTTTGGGGACAACACAGTCGCGATTCCCGGGCTTGTATGACATGTAGAACTTGTAGTCCAGATAGTTGTCGGAGTTTTCAGGAGGTGATCTCGTGAAGAGAGAACGTTTTGATTGTCCAGCTTCTCCCTCCACCTTGGCCAGCTTGACTATTGGGATCCTGTCGCCATTGATGTCGTAGGCTGTGGCGGCATCAGTCACCTCTTTAGTGAGGTCTTTCATGACCTCTTCACGAGAGACGGGATGCAGCCAGGAATCCTCCTGTGGACACTCGCCCAATGGACGGATTGCTTTCTAAATCACTCACGGCGAACATGCTGCATGAGGTATGTCCAAAGTCCATCATTATCTCTGGTCTGGGCATGATTCTGACAGCTTTTTTCAGTTGTTTCACCTATTATACTTCGGGAATATGCTTGATGCTCCAAATGCGTATGGGTGGATGAACAACGTCAAAAACAACGATCGCGAAAACCCGGACTTGTATGCTATTATCGGTGCGGTTATCTAGTTAATGAGGAGGGACGATCAGAAGTACGCAGCCTCGGCAGAAGGCGAAGTTTCCCCTATCTCTTGATAAATGATGCGGGGAGCTTTTGCATCCATTCGTGGACTCTGAAGAAGCACTGTGTGGGATAAAGGCAGCTGTAGGTTTGCAGCCTGGACTACAGGATATGCGAGACAATTCGGAGAAAAAAGATTTCTAGTTTCTAGACTGTTCGAAGTTTTGCCCATCAGGCTGATCAGCACTGATTGATGCCCCATTATGTGCTATATGCAAGTATGACTTCCAAATCCATCAATAAGAATCGGTTTCCAGAGCCTCGGCAATCTTTGCCCATAGTCCCTTGCGCAGCACACCTCCTAACCAAACATTGCCGTCCGCATCTCTGCCTACCACATTGGAGGCATTTCGGAGGCTGAGTCCTTTGGAGATTGTATCGCCCAAGATAAAGGATGGCTTCCCCAATCGACCAGAACGCGTAACCGAGTCAGCCCCCTTTTTGACCACTGCCGCGGAGAAATCTGCTTCGAAGAACTTCGCCTTTGACCAGTTGGAGACTGTAACCATCTGCATGCCACCGTCACCATACAGGGGGAAACCAATGGCCTTCTGGGCGGCAATTCGGGCTTCGAGCTGCTCTCTGCTACCCTGGTCCATTATGGCCTTGCGAACGGCCCAGGCCGTGTAGCTCAGCGGATGGGTGAGAATATCCTTCGCCGATGAGATTGCCAATACTGCGGTAACCGCATTTCCAACGTAGGCCCTGTCTGGTGGGAGGTAGTCGTCGGCTAGGGCAGATCGCATTCCAAAAGCGTTCATGATAACGATGGTCTGATTTGACGTCTTAGGCAGGTGCCGGATAAACATGCGAGTGATGAAAGCGGACACAACATCGCCTTCACTGGCAAAAGCTGTGGCACTGCCGTCATGTTGAGCCACAACCTCCTGATTTACCAATGACTTCAACTTCTTCAAGTATGCGGCAGGCATACAGACTATCTTTGTCTCTTCTTCCCGATAGTATATGGTTTCCCAGATCTGGCGTAGAACGAACCATGCCATCTGCCACTTGGACAGCAGCTTGTTGGCCAACACGTACTCTTCTTTCGGCTTCGTTCCAAGGTCTGCCAGAGGGTCCTCGTCAAAGCCATGGAACGGCTTGATGTCGTTTTCACGCCCATGTAGCATTGATGTCCATGCTGTGATCAGCTCTTGGCGTCCCAGGGCGTCGAACAAAGTATGCAGCCAGTTAAGAGATACGAGCGTGGCGTTGTTGAACGATACGATATGCAGAGCAAGTTGCGGCCTGTCGTGGTAGATATAGTCATCCAAACTCTTTGGTCCGTTGTAGGCATGCGTAAACTCCAGGAAATCGTTGGAATCCCCGACGACGGCTGGCTTTAAGCTGGCTTTTGGTAACCTTGAAGCTAGAGGGTGCTCTTCGATGTCCACGTCATACGTGACGTGAGAGTACGCGATGGCTGGCCTCTTTGGACCATACTCAGCAGGTATATGGTACTCTAGCTTTTTATTCGCCTGAGAATTGTTCAGCGACCGCGTAAGATTTAGTGGACAAGAGTCTCAAATCGCATGCATCGTACATTGAGTCTCAACCGTGCTCCCAGCTTGCGCCAACCATCGCGTTCAAGGAGTCTCTCTAGAGAAACTCTCAATTTGTCGGGATCGAGAACGTCGTCGAAGCGCATCATGAACAACATGACGATGCTTTTATTTACAAAATTGTCATCGCCGGCGCTCAGCGGGACAATAGTGTCCGTCGGGACAATGCTGGGGACCTGCGGCCTTCTGAGGAACGAAAGCATAGCGAAAACCTCGGGCAAATCGCGATGAATTTGAAATAGACACGGAAAGCTGATCGTGGGCTGTTTGTTTTTTCCTTTACTTTTTGCTGCTGATAAGGTATTTAAGCGCGCTCCCACCTGCATCCCGCCGCTTGTGGCCAGGTCAACACTCAGTGGAGCCGTACCCATACCATCTTGCGTCTTGGCATGTCTGTGTCCAATCGCGAAGTCTATTTCAGTCAAGGAACAAGTCCAACAAAATGCTAACCGAGCGGAATCTTCTTCGAAGGAATCTGTACAGTTTCTCTTCTGGAGGACTATGTCTCTGCACTCACTAGATTGGACAGATGATTTGGTGATTTCGACGGGAGGTCCCCTTGTTTTATTAATGGCCTGATCGACAGCTTCACATCTCCAGCTTTGTCTTTTCACATTCCAATCACCAAAAGCACTTGGTATCAGGCAGGTCAACGTTGTTGTTGGCAGTGTAAAATTCACCGAATGCAAAATGGTAATCTTCCGAGGAAATTGCAGAGCGGCCTTGTGGGTGGGGCGGGTCTCAATGAATCCGACATGGATAACAAAAGATCAATTAGGGGAGGAGTCATAGGCAACGAGAATTACGAGTTGCCCGAATTGGAAACTAGTGATTGGATTCTGAACATAACACAAATCGGGAAATACAAAGCTCAGCAGACCTCACCGCAGCGTATGCGAAACCATGCGGTGGTCTACTACCTGTGGCACAAATGCACACCAAACCTGAAGACCATCACACGTTGACATTTATTTCATCATAGCCTGAACACTTGAGAATGCCGTTGTTTGGAGCGAGTAAATCTTTGTAAGCCGGATAAGGTCAGCAACATAGGGAGCGCACCAGTCTTGGCTCGGAGATCTCGGAGAATCCAAATCGGAGATATGAGACCACGGTCGGTCAAGATCTCCGTGGCATTGCAAGCGAACCAAGCTGTTCATCATCTCACCGGTGGCTGTCCATTGACCAGCCAGCCGGATACAAGCGACAGAACTTCCGCTGGTAAATCGAACGGCGCAAGGTGACCAGAATCAAAGATCTCAGCGTAGGTTAGACTGTCGTATGACTTCCATCGACCAACATATTTCGAGTCGTGGTACCAAGGCAGATATTCCCGAAACCGAAAGAACGGATGACCGTTCCATTCCAAGCCTTCGTTAACAAGCCTTCTCATACCTGCTGCGTTGCAATACAGGTCTTTATCGCCAACGTAAACGAGAACTCGAACTCCCTGGAAAGTGACGAGGTTCAGCGTCAGCAAGCACACAGTGGCAAAGCGTTGCATGTATTGATTGCATGCATCGCAGTAATGGAGCTGCACTGAGAGTAACCTACCGAGTTGAGAAGAAAGTTGACGTATTCCGCACTCGACTTCCATAAATCTCCGATTTCCTCCCACAGGTTAAGGACATCAAAAGAGACCCCATAGAATGGGGCCTCGTCCGGTACCCCGAGAGCTTTCTTAACGATGCTGCTGTTTAGGTACTTATCAATGTGAGCCATTTCCGGGTAACAGCCCAAAGGATCGTCACCGCATGTGCGGCGCCAGTCATACGGGTTACGATGCATCTCGTTAATCGCAACCTCGGCCATTTCGGAGCACAGCTTCTGTGCGCTTTTGCACTCGGACGAGGTCCAGCCTTTCGTCTCACACACCCTGAGATTCTTCTCACACCATAGAGCTCTCGGAGCCCATTCAAGACATTGTGATGTGTTGAAAAGTCCGTCGGGGCCAGAGCACAATGCCTCGAAGGTTCCAGGGTTCTGCACGGGCTGACGAACTAGACCATTGCC